GGGTACTGGAGGGTGCCCCTCCTGAGGACTCCCTTGTTCTGCTGGGGGACTTCAACGCTCACGTGGGCAATGACAGTGAGACATGGTTGGGTGAGGGGCGTGGGTGGGAGGAACGGCCCTCCCGATCTGAACTCGAGTGGTGTTCTGTTGTTGGACTTCTGTGCTCGTCACGGATTGTCCATCACGAACACCATGTTCAGGCATAAGGGTGTCCATATGTGCACTTGGCACCAGGACACCCTTGGCCGCAGTTCGATGATCGATTTTGTCATCGTTTCATCGGATCTGCGGCCATATGTCTTGGACACTCGGGTGAAGAGAGGGGCGGAGCTGTCAACTGACCACTACCTGGTGGTGAGTTGGCTCCGGTGGTGGGGGAGGAAGCAGGTCAGACCTGGCAGGCCCAAGCGTGTAGTGAGGGTCTGCTGGGAACATCTGGCAGAGTCCCCTGTGAGACGGAGCTTCAACTCCCATCTCCRGCAGAACTTCGAACACGTTCTGGGGGAGGTGGGGGACATTGAGTCTGAATGGACCATGTTCCGTACCTCCATTGGCGAGGCGGCTTATCGGAGCTTTGTTGGTGCCTGTCGCGGCAGTAACCCTCGAACCCGTTGGTGGACACCTTCGGTGAGGGATGCTGTCAAGCTGAAGAAGGAGTCCTATCGGGCCTTTTTTGACTTACGGGACTCCAGAAGCAGCTGATGGGTACCGGCGGGCGAAGCGGCATGCGGCTCGGGTGATCGCTGAGGCAAAACCCGGGCGTGGGAGGAGTTTGGAGAGGCCATGGAGAATTACTTCCGCACGGCTTCGAGGCGATTCTGGTCCACCATCCGGCATCTCAGGAGGGGGAAGCAGTGCAGCCCCAACACTGTTCATAGTGGGGATGGTGTGCTGCTGACCTCAACTCGTGACATGTGCCGGTGGGCGGAATACTTYGAAGACCTCCTCAATCCCACCAACATGCCTTCTGTTGAGGAAGCTGAGCCTGGGGACWTTGGGTTGGGCTCTCCAATCTCTGGGGATGAGGTCGCTGAGGTGGTCAAAAAGCTCCTCGGTGGCAGGGCCCCGGGGATGGATGAGATCCGCCCGGTGTTCCTTAAGGCTCTGGATGTTGTAGGGTTGTGKTGGCTTACGCGACTCTGCAATATTGCATGGACATCGGGGGCAGTCCCCCTGGATTCGCAGACTTGGGTGGTGGTCCCCCTGTTTAAAAAGGGGGACCGGAGGGTGTGCTCCAATTACAGGGGGGGTCACACTCTTAAGCCTCCCTGGTAAGGTCTATTCAGGGGTCCTGGAGAGGAGGGTCCGTCGGGTAGTCGAACCTCGGATTCAGGAAGAGCAGTGTGGTTTTCTTCCTGGTCGTAGAACACTGGACCAGCTCTACACCCTCAGCAGGGTCCTGGAGGGTGCATGGGAGTTCGCTCAACCGGTATACTTGTGTTTTGTGGACTTGGAGAAGGCGTTCGACCGTGTCCCAAGGGGGGCCTTGTGGGGGGTTCTCCGGGAATATGGGGTACCGGGCCATTTGAAACGGGCTGTCAGGTCCTTGTACGACCGGTGTCAGAGTCTGGTCCGCATTGCCGGCAGTAAATCGGGCTCGTTTCCGGTGAGAGTTGGACTCCGCCAAGGCTGCCCTTTGTCACCGATTCTGTTCATTACTTTCATGGACAAAATTTCTAGGCGCAGCCGAGGTATTGAGGGGCTCCGTTTTGGTGGCCTTAAGATCGCATCTCTGCTTTTTGCGGATGATGTGGTCCTGTTGGCTTCATCGGAACGWGATCTGCAGCTCTCGCTGGAGCGGTTCGCGGCCGAGTGCGAAGCGGCCGGGATGAGGCTCAGTGCCTCCAAATCCGAGGCCATGGTCTTGAGCCGGAAAAGGGTAGAGTGCCTTCTCCGGGTCAGGGGGGTCGTCCTGCCTCAAGTGGAGGAGTTTAAGTATCTGGGGATCTTGTTCACGAATGGGGGAAGAAGGGAGTTGGAGATCGACAGGCGGATTGGTGCAGCATCTGCTGTAAAGCGGGCGCTGTACTGGTCCGTCGTGGTGAAGAGAGAGCTGAGTCAGAAAGCGAAGCTCTTGATTTACCGGTCGATCTACGTTCCTACCCTCATCTATGGTCATGAGCTTTGGGTCATGACCGAAAGAACGAGGTCCCAGATACAAGCGGCCGAAATGAGTTTCCTCCGCAGGGTGGCTGGGCTCTCCCTTAGAGATAGGGTGAGAAGCTCGGTCATCCGGGAGGGACTCAGAGTAGAGCCGCTGCTCCTCCATGTCGACAGGAGCCAGTTGAGGTGGCTCGGGCATCTGGTAAGGATGCCTCCTGAACTCCTCCCTGGTGAGGTATTCCGGGCATGTCCCACCGGGAGGAGGCCCCGAGGAAGACCCAGGACACGCTGGAGAGACTATGTCTCTCGGCTGGCCTGGGAACGCCTTGGAGTTCCCCCGGAGGAGCTGGAAGAAGTAGCTGGGGAGAGGGAGGTCTGGGCCTCCCTTCTGAAGCTGCTGCCCCCGCGATCCGACCCCAGATAGGGGGAAGAAAATGGATGGATGGATAATAAAAACCATTGATGACACATCAGGAAAGGTTTTTGTATGAGTGTCTGCGATTCAGCCGTAGGCCAGTAGTGGGTGTACCAGGCACTGAAGAGTCATGTATTTATCAGCCGGGACCTCCGGTTTGCATTCAGCATTGGTTTCATGTCTGCAGAGAGAACATTAAACCAACTTTCACTCCAGTCACTGGTGTATGGTCCATCTCTTCACATTTTGATCTATTCAACATTCGTGGTTTCGTCACGATTTCAGTTAACGAACACTAAATTTTCTTACATGCTCATTCAGGTGATCAATAGAATCAAACCAGCTGCTCATCAAACTGTGGCAGGTTTACAGCCTCCTTCATGCCTCTCCTGCTCTCTTTCCTCCATGATTGCTTGACAGCCTGATTAACTTCCTGCCTCACCTGCCCACTTCTTCCTTTGACTGACCACCAGTATGCATGCTGATCTACCTAAAGGCGTTGTATTTATCCAAAACATAAAATAAATATATAAATTAAACAAGCTATTAACAAACTTATCTACTTTGAACAACTACAATTAAACATAAATACTAAATAGAAATCAATAAAAAATAAACAAATAAATAAATCGATAAGCTAAATTCAAAGGGTTGACAAAAATAGACAAATACCTTCTACATCAAAATTACATTGGACGTAGTTTCTGTTGATATTGATCAAATGTATATAGCAATAAACATTATTGTTTAATCAGAATCTCTTTATATTGAAAGTATGTTACACATATAAAGAATTTATTGTGGTGAGAACACACAATGTAAGACATGACACAAGCAAGCAGAAATTTAAGTAAAACGTTAACCATAGATACACAAACTGAAGTTTAGCATCTATATAAAAATGATCAGCCCTAAGGTACAGTTCTTCTCAACGCTTTGTTCATGTGTTTCAGTGGTTTCTACAGATGTTCAGGAGTTGGTGCTGATTAAAGAAGAAGCTCCTGAAGAACAGAGACCATATACAGTCCAGCAAGACCAAGAACCCCTCCATGTAAAAGAGGAAGAGGAGGTGCTGTGCGTCAGTGTGGGGGAAGATCAGCTCTATGTGAAGGAGGAGACAGATGTCACCAGCTTTATATTTACTGCAGTTCCTTTAAAGCATGAGGATGATGAAGATAAACCTCTGTTCTTACAGCTTCATCAACACCAAGCTGAAGTCAGAGATCTTCCAACCAGCAGCTCAGCTGATAACCTGGAATCAGCAACTGGTGGAGAGTCCTGTGGAGGAGCAGAAACTACCAGAAACCCAGATCTGAGTACTCATGAAGATGATTCTGACCCTTCAGAAACTGAAGTCAGTGAGGATGATGATGAAGAGGATTGTGATGTGAGCAGTCCTGACTCTCAGCTGAAACACTTGGCAGACTCTGGGGCAAAAACTGAAAACACTGATAAAGACTGGGGGTCTTCACTCAGCAGAGTTCCTGAATCACGTGGAGACAAAATCAATAATGGACAAAAACTGTTTTGTTGTGAGTTGTGTGGGCGGACGTTTAACCAGAAGGGACATTTGAACAAACACTTAAGAATCCACACAGGACAGAAGCCATTTTGTTGTGAGCTGTGTGATCGAAGGTTTACTGAAAAGGGCCATTTGAACACGCACATTAGAATCCACACAGGACAGAAGCCATTTTGTTGTGAGCTGTGTGATCGAAGGTTTACTGAAAAGGGCCATTTGAACACGCACATTAGAATCCACACAGGACAGAAGCCATTTTGTTGCGAGCTGTGTGACCGTAGATTTAGCCAAAGATGCAGTTTGAAGAGACACATGATAACCCACATAGGACCGAAACAGTTCAGTTGTGAGCTGTGTGATCGAAAGTTTACCACAAACAGCTATTTGAACAAACACGTGGAACTCCACAGAACACAGAAACAGTTTTGTTGTGGACTGTGTGATCGAAATTTTACTGCAAAGAGCAGTTTAAAAACACACATGAGAATCCACACAGGACAGAAGCCATTTTGTTGTGAGTTGTGTGATCGAAGGTTTACCACAAAGAGTGAGTTAAACATACACATGAGAATCCACACAGGACAGAAGCCATTTTGTTGTGAGTTGTGTGATCGAAGATTTACTACAAAGGGCAATTTAAACACACATATTAGAGTCCACACAGGACAGAAGCCATTTTGTTGTGAGCTGTGTGATCGAAAATTTGGTCATCAGGGCAGTTTGAACAAACACATGAAAATCCACATAGAAAACAAAGCAGTCATTTTCAATGACTCCTAAAAGATTGTTTTTATACACACTTCAAATAAAAAAGATTTTTATTATTTTAAATAAGTTGGGGAAACCCCCAATGATTTTGCTTTAGAAGATTTGATAGATTTGTTGCCAACATTGGAGTAATTACAGACACCTGTGGACTCATTTTAACCCCTCAAACACTGTTTGTGTGGCACACTGGGAAAACAAAAGAAATCAGTAAAGACATCAGGAAGAAAATGACCTTCACAACCCTAGTTCATCCTTCACAACTCATATCAATATTTTCATCATTTTTAAAATTATTCTTTTAATATTTTACTCTAATTCTAATTTTCCTTTTGAAAATGGATATTTTTACATATTTTGTTAACTATTGTGAACAGTTGTAGGAATGTTTAAAGTGTTAAAATGCTAATAAAATATATTCATGGAGTTAAACATGCAGGTATTGTACTTCTAGATTTGAAGCAACTTTTAATAAAAGGTTTAACGTGAAATTTGTTTAATTTTTCTAAAGCATGATGTTTGAAGAAAATACGGAGTAAAAGTTTTTTAAATAATAAATGGTCTGAACTTATAGTGCGCTTTATCAAGTCCCTCCGGACCCCAAAGCACTTACTTACCTGTGTGTGTGTCCAAGTGTTGGTGAGCGTGGAGTACTTACATGTGGGTGTGTCCAAGTGTTGGTGGGAATGGCTTACTTGCATGTGGGTGTGTCCAAGTGTTGGTGGGAGTGGCTTACCTACCTGTGGGTATGAAATTTTCACCAGATGTCGGTAACAACCCAAGTGATCCATACATACAAAGAAATCAAACCATAAATGTCCAGAAATGAAGTTATTTGTAATAATG